CTTTATGTATTCAAAAGCTCGATATGTTTATTTTTATCTTTATCTTTACTTTTTATTTTATTATTTATTTAATATGTTTATCTTATCTTTATGTTTCTTCATGTACTCAAAGCTCTTTGTGTCAAGCTTTTCAAGACACTTGGGGCCAGGGCTTGGGAATGGTACCCAACCCAGAAACTTCATAGGTCTGTCCTCCAGGATGTGTTCTTTTAGCTGTTTTTCATTGTTTTTAAATATTTGTGGTCTGGAGATGTTTATACAATTTTATTGTATTGTTTTATGAATGGCTATAAACTGCCCAAAGAGCTTCAGCTACTGGGTGGTTTAGAAATAGTGAAGGAGGAGGAGGAGGAGGAAAATGGATGGTGTGGAGAGCTTTTGTGAATACCTTGGACTAACAGAAAGACAAGGAAGGGGTCTTAGATCCAGTCAGGCCAGAACTGTCTCTGGAAGCAACAAAACGGAGGCGGTCATCCTGAGAAAGTAACACTCCTTGGAGGAGACAATCTTGCCAGGGAAAGTCAAAGGCTGGAGGAAAAAAAGGAAGGCCAAATAAGAGACTGATGGACTCCTTGGAGGAAGCCACAGCCTTGAACGTGTAATTGCTGAGCGGGATTGTCATGCAAAAGACCTTCTGGGGGGCTTTTATCTAATCCAAGGCAGTTTGATAGCACATAACAGCGGAATAACAACTGACTGGTATCTCGGCATAGGCAAAGCTGCCAGGTCAGGGAGAAAGTCTCTATAGCTCTTCCCCCATCACACCCTTTTTCTAGTTTGGGGAGATTTATATTAAATGCTGCACATGATAGAGATGTTCCCTGTGGCACCTGCAGCGTGCAGCCCGGATGCTGCCTGATTGCCATGAGGGGAGCAGAGAACTGTTCATAGCCATTAAATTGCCATTTCCAGTTCTGTCCCTCAAGCTCTGACATGGGCCTGTCAGGACAAAATGAGCAAAAGCTCTGCTGTGAGATGGCTGTGAAAAACCAGGTGCTGTAAGAGCAGTTTTAGACTTAAGGTGGGATCCTGATCTCGTCAGGAATCCATGTTGCCAGGCTTGACCCCGAAGGGCGCTATGGGTAAGCCAAAGCATGCCTTTCCTGCAGCTGGGTGCTTTTCGGTCTTTTGGCTTCATCCAGTCAACCCTTTTGTTTTATTCTCATGAGCCTCTAGCAAACTGCCCCCTTTCCCCCCGCCCAGAACTATGTATGTCACAGACAGCTTATACAGCAGGGGTGCCCAACCGTTTGGCTTCTCTGGGTCGCATTGGAAAGAAAATGTCTTGAGCCACGCAGAGACACTAACCAAAGTTGATAAGCAAAAAAAAAAAAAAAGTCTGTGCATAATTTTCATGATACCTGCCACCACAGAAAAGCAAAACAGTCCTCACATAATCTTAATTATGTGGCGCCCCATTTGGAGAGTCTTTTATTTTATTTATTTATTTATTTAAAACATTTCTATGCCGCCCCATCGCAACAAAGCCTCGGGGCGGCTCACAACACATAAAATCGTCCAGCAAGTCCAAAGTTTGTGATCACAGAGAAAATGAACATATCTAAGCAATAAAACTTCATTCTTTATTTTTTATTATAAAAGTAAAAGAGGGCAACATAATTTTTGATTGTGAGCCGTCCCGAGACGCATAGGCCAAGTGAAAGTCTTTCTCTTACTGAACTGGAGAGTCACTTCCCTAGCTGGGTAAAGTTGGTAAAAAGAGTCAATAGATGCCCAATGGGATGGAGTTATCTAGTGGTTGGATTTTTTTTTTTAATGTAATGCCCCACCTTTCTGCTAAAAGAAAAAATAGCACTCAACATGGCTATTCTGTAGAATGAAATTCCCCAAATTTATTCCCATGTTAAGGGCTAGGAATTCTTTCTCCCTTTTCAAAATCCTACTTGAGTACTGTCATATTTCAAGGGATCCTTTAAAATAAATTGCCAACATACGCTGGATCATGGAGAAAGCTAGGGAGTTCCAGAAAAACATCTACTTCTGCTTCATTGACTATGCTAAAGCCTTTGATTGTGTGGATCACAACAAATTGTGGCACGCTTTTAAAGAGATGGGAGTCCCAGACCATCTTATTTGTCTCTTGAGAAACCTATATGTGGGTCAAGAAGTAACAGTGAGAACTGGACACAGAACCACTGATTGGTTCAAAATTGAGAAAGGAGTTCGGCAAGGCTGTATACTGTCGCCCTGCCTATTTAACTTATATGCAGAGCACATCATGAGAAAGGCGGGGCTAGATGAATCACCAGTTGGAATTAAGATTGCTGGGAGAAATATCAACAACCTCAGATATGCGGATGATACCACTCTAATGGCAGAAAGTGAAGAGGAACAAAAGAGTCATTTGTGGGTGAAGGAGGAGAGCTCAAAAGTTGACTTGAAACTCAGCATTAAGACAACTAAGATCATGGCATCCAGTCCTATCACTTCCTGGCAAATAGATGAGGAAGAAATGGAGGTAGTGACAGATTTTATTTTCCTGGGCTCCAAGATCACCGCAGACGGGGACTGCAGCCAAGAAATTAAAAGGCGCTTGCTCCTGGGGAGGAAAGCTATGGCAAATCTAGACAGCATACTAAAAAGCAGAGACATCACCCTGCCAACAAAAGTGCGTATAGTCAAGGCTATGGTTTTCCCAGTTGCAATGTATGGCTGTGAGAGCTGGACCATAAGGAAGGCTGAGTACCGAAAGATTGAGGCCCTTGAATTGTGGTGCTGGAGGAGACTCCTGCGAGTCCCCTGGACCGTGAGGCGATCAAACCGGTCAGTCCTAGAGGAGATCAACCCTGACTGCTCTTTAGAAGGCCAGATCCTGAAAATGAAACTCAAATACTTTAGCCACCTCATGAGAAGGAAGGACTCCCTGGAGAAGAGTCTAATGCTGGGAACAATAGATGGCCAAAGAAGGAGACGGCAGAGGATGAGGTGGCTGGATGGAGTCACTGGGGCAGTTGGTGTGAGCTTGAGTGGACTCCGGGGGATGGTGGTTATGTGTATTTATTATTATGTGTATTTAGGCAGTATTAAACTTTGCTATTCTAGCATCAGATCAACCCCACCCCTGCCATCTTGTTTTGCTTAACTTCTGACCTGAAGAAAAAATTTCAAGAACTCAGAAGCTGTGCTATTCGCTTGCAACACTGTTAGATGATCCTAATTCTAGTCTTGGCCTTCTGTTGCAACTTTTTGTGAGGAATCCCGGATCTTTTTGCCAGTTAGTTGTCAAATGGTTCTCTCTGGCTCCCCCTGGTGACCTGCAGAAGGAAAATACTCTTATTTGTGCCGTGCCTTCTAGCTACCAAGCTGGAAATTTAAAAAGTTGCTTCCTGCAAAGTTAATACCAACATTCAGTGTGCATGTTAGTAGTCTCAGTTACCGAAGTTCCAGACTTTGCAGCTTGGGAGCACAATTCCCCTTTCACCTTATCAGAGGTTTTCGCTGCTGTTCCACACCACGGACCTGTGTCTGGTTTTTCCAGAAATGCTGACGACGTGCAGAAAATGTGTGCAAGTGGCAGGACGAAGGGGAAACTTCAATGTTATTTCCTTGGAGGAAGCCATAATACAGATATACTCTGATGGATGAATTTGGGCTGCAGCCAATTTGGTGCTTGTGACCTTTGGTGCCAAAGCAGTCCTTCTGGGAGCCGAGCTGCCCTGTCGCAGCTACTAGCTCTGTAACCAGTTCCTCAGCCCGTCCAGCAATCTTGCTCTTCAGCTTTCTTTTAACATCGCGCACCCCACTCCGTTCGTTCCCTCCTCCGATTTCAAGAAACTGGTTTCCGAGCCTTTGTATTGCGGATCGGTGTGACATCTGTGACGTTGCCACTGGGATTGTCTGTTCCTGTGGAGTCGATTCTTTTCCCACCTTAATAGGCATGGAGTGCTGGCATTTCAAAGGCAGATAGATACCGACGTGGAATTGCTGAAGTACAATTCAACAAGAAAGGGGCTTAAATTGGGGCAAGGACTGTTTTAAGGTACTGCGAGCGTTGATGGCTTGCAATTTATTTCTATTCCACCCCGTCGCTTAGGTTCTCTGGGCAGCTGATGTCTCACAATGATGTCTATCCCATTTGTGAATGGCAGCTGTTACGATTTGCATTTCAGTCCCATTTAACCTTGACGGCTCACCCTACCTTGCAAGCAGGTGTATGTGCCGGAGGGTCGACTGCATGTTTTGCTAGGCCTGGTTCTCCTGAGCACATGCCTATCGTGTTAAAAACGACTACACGGCAACAGAAACAGGCCCACAGCCGTTCCATGGGATGCGGTCGGGGCTTCTTCTCCAGGCAACCTCAGAATTTTGCCTGCCCTCAGACAATGAGCAGGCAGGGCGTGAGGGTCAGCCTTGTACTGATAGAGCTGGGAGCAACCTGTGGTTCACTGGGGCTTCCCAGCCGCAGGATCTGCCTTAACTGTGTAATGCCAGAGACGGTGCGTGCACTACAGCCAGCGATGGCTAGAAATGGTGGGCTGAGGACCACTGCGGAACCCCTTCCTCCTGAGCAGACAAGGAGCCCATGCAAGAACTTTCCTTTGTGGAAGCCGGATCGTGCATTGGGTTGATTTTCAAGATTTTCCTGCAGTGTGTTTGCTTTTAAGGGGAAGAATGCTCTTCCGCCATGGTAAGGAAGTACAAACTGGAACGTGTGAACTGGGCCACTGGAACTAACCCTTGTGAAAGGAGTAGAGGGCTTCCATGCCGAACACTCATGAAGAGCGTGGGAACACTGGGCGCGGCCTTCGACCAAATCCACCTCGGCCCAATACTGCCTACCTTGACGGACCGTGGAATTTTCCCAGCCCTACTTGGAAACTCCAGGAAGTGAACCTGGGGCCTTCTGTATCACACTTCTCCAAAACACACGCATACATGTGCATGCCTGTTGCACTATAAATCTTTGCCATGGCTTGCAAAACCCCGAAAGCTTGATTTCAAGCTCCCTTTCTCGTGCTGCAATGAAACCAACGAGGTACTTACTTCCAGACAAGCCTTTTATTGTGCGATCTCAGAGTCTCATTCACAGAATTTCCCATGGGGTCCAGATGACATTCAATGCACACCCCTCCCATGTTTTCCCCACTGCTTCTTTTGCCATTTTCCTAAGTCAGAAAAAAACATGTTAAGAAATAAAAAACAGGATACCTGCATACTGCCCTGTGACTGGTAGCAAAAGGACCTCCAGTCTAGAAGCATCCCAGCTGCAAATACAAGAAAATGAGAGCTGCGGAGCCACAAGGCATGCTTTCAAAAGTATTTAATAAGCGATTCAAGAGACCTGCTTTCGCTGCTTTGAGACAAGCCTGCACTGCAAGAATGCAAAGTTTTGCAGCTTCTGACAGCGGTGGTTGTTTCCGTTCACAAGCACCTCTCCCGTTGCGTCTGTTTCTTTAATCATTGGTTATCGTCCTGCAAGCCTGTTGGAACAATCCAAAGCAAGCTCAGGGGCTGCGTGCTCGCTCTCCTGCTGCGACGCTTCCACAGCCACGTCATCCTTCGCAGGCATCACACGGCGGCCTGGGGCGCTGGTGCATGGCGGACGAGGCCTGTGGGCTGCAGCGCAAGGCAGCGTGGGCAGACAGAAGCATGGAAGACGTGTGCAGGCAGCGGCCCCCGTGCACCGTCCTCACCTCGGGAAGGGCTGCTGTGGGCGTGTGTGCTTGCGCGAGGTAGGAGGCGCCGCCTCCTCCTCGTCGGGTCACAGGCTCTTTGTGGACGGGTCTGCCAGCCTGCCTCCTCGTCAGCTACCCTCCTGAGGCCCGGGTTCTCCCGTCACCCCAATGAGCCAATGCCACCGTTCGCCATGTCAGCAGATGGCGGACGCCCTCGCCCTGCCCTTGAAACCGAGTGCCGCCAGGCCCTCTCCCAAGCACCCCACCGCCTTCAGCGGACCTGGCTTGGCTTCCAGGCTCTTTGCCTGCCGGGGGGTTGGCGACTCACGTCAGTCCCCTTCCGACTCCCGGCGGCCAGAGTGGGGCTGCCCTTCTCGCCTGCGCTCCTGCGTGGCAGGGAAGCAGCTAGCCAGCTAGCCGTGTGACCCAGCAGGCTCAGCCGTGCCTGAGCCCAACTGAGCCCAGGCTGCCTGCTCGGTCATTTCTAGAACTACGCTGGCTGGTTCGCTCATCTTTTGCTCCTCTGTCTTCTTTTTATCATTTGGTTCTTGGAAACCTCTTTGCCTACCTCCATCTCCCGACAAGTTGCTTGCTCCCTCTGAGGTGGCCACAGGTGGGTTACAAGCCAAGGATGGAAAGATTATAGCTTTTAATGGTTCCTGCAGAATAGTGCTCCCACCCCTGCCTTGCCAAGGGGATTCTCCCTGTGCTCTCTCTCTGCCTCTGTTGTTCCAGCCTCACTATTCTCCCATCAGCCAGCCTGTCTCCCTTCCTCTTTTCCCAGTGCCCTCTTCCTGTCATCAGAGGGATGGCTGCGTATGCTCCGAGCGCACCCGAGACGGCGGGCCGCAGTCCGTGCTTCACTTCTGCTCCGGCTCGTCCGCCACCGTGGTCACCTCGAGCGCAGCGTGTTCTTCGGTTGCTGCGGCGCCCTCCACCATGCTGGACGGCACCGTCATGATGGTGCTGCCCCCGGGGGACACCTGCGTCATGTTCTGGATGGCGGTGCCCAGTCCCGGGAGAGTGAGCAGCTGGAAGGGGCTCATCACCTTCACCACCGTGCCTCCATCCTGTATGGCCGCTGTGCTCAGCACGGTGAGGTTGGAGGCCTCCGGGTGTATCTCCACCGCACTGGGAAAGGTGGAGCCGGTCGAGGCCAGGACGGTGTACCCGCCCAGCAGTGGGGAGGCTGGGGAGCCGGCGGCGGCGACCTGCGTCGTGGCCTTCCCGAGAGTGGATGCAGGGAGAGCAGGGACCACCTTGGCGATGGGCAGGTTGGCCAGCTGCGTGACTGGCATCCCTGGAGCCAGGGCGAACTGCGCCGACTGAGACAGGAGCTGGGAGGTGATGGCGGGTGGTCCCGAAGTCGCACGGGTCAGCCGGGGCCGCTTCAGGGGAGACGGGACCGAGACGGGCGTGAGGGTCATCAGCACGTTGTTGAGGTGCTGGGACTTGTGCTTGAGCTCCTTCGCTCTCTTTCGGTGCTCGTCCAACTGCTGCTCCAGGGCTGGGAGAAAGAGGGGAGAGGAGGACAGTGGAGAGGCAGGGCCACCGCTGAGCTCGATCAGCCGGCAGGCTTTGCCTTGGCTGCTGAGCAACCGCTCGGCTTGACGCTAGAAGCCGTTCCGGGATGCAGCGTGCAAGGGGGCTCTGGCGGGAAAAATGCGTTCGGCCGGATGCGCTGCTACAGCGCTTGCCACAGAGAACGGTCCCTCTTCCTGGGGCTGCCCTTTCTAGAACCAGGAAGCGGGAGGGTTTGCCCCCTCGCTTGGAACAGAAGTTTACACTGGATGGATAACCTAAACCGTGGATAACTTAAACCATCCCTGCCTCAAAGTTTGGGGGTTTCTATTGATTTAGCGAGCAATTTCTATAATGCATGGATTAATTACATGGGCTTCCCACAGTTCTTCCAGGGGTTTCCTCCCTTTTTATCCTCCAAACCCCCCCCCCAAAACTCTGTGACTGTAGAGAAGGGAAGAGCCATCCCTCTTGCACATTACTGTCTACTCCGATATATTGCTCCAATTCAGAGGGGAAGGCAGAGCAGAGGTCTTGGCAGCTTCAAGGCTACAAAGTGAAGATACTCAGAGTGTGGGAACTCGTGTGCCTTGGAAAAGAAGGGAGACATTTTGGAATGGGGAAGGAGACGGAGGGGGAGTTCAACAGCAGGCCATCTCACCCACCCACAGCAGGGGTCTCCCCTAGGGTAGAATCCCTTCTGAAAGGGAGGGAGGGAATGTTTCCTTTTGGATTCGGCTCTTCCCACAGGCAGATGCTCTTCCCACATCTCAGAGAGAGCACTGCCTTGATTGATGCTGTCCTGTAACCTGTTAAAATTCAAATAAAAGAACTGTGCTTCTCAAGTCTTGTCTAAGTCTGCAGGAGCAGAAGAGGGGGAGGCAGGGACGCGCTCGCAACGGTGCAGTGGTTAGGCTGGGAGAGCGTGAGAGGCTCTCACAGCCGTGACGCTAATTCATGGAAGCCAGTGGGGTGCAGGAGCTGAGAGCAGGGCTGGGCCTGAGCTGATCCAGGTCCTCGTCCCCACTCGGCCACGGAGCTGGCTGGCTGACCCTGGGCCAGTTGCAGACTCTCAGCCCAGCCTACCTCACAGGTTGTTGTTGTGGGGAAAAGACGGGGAGCAGGAGGAAGAAAATCATGTGAGCTGCTTTGAGCTCATTGTAAGAAGAAAGTGGGATATAAATCTAATAAATAAATAAACGCCTCCTTGGCCCTAATCACTGCATCGCACTGGCTCCCACGGTTCTCTGAGCTCATTTTAGCCTTTAGGAGACCGTGGTGAAGCCACAGGCCAAAGGCGATGCTGCAGTGTGCAGGACCCTTGCAGGGCAGCCGGAAGCGAAGAGAAGGGGCCTCGCTGTGGGGTGGGACAAGCGCACCGCTACTGCCGCCCTCGTCAGCTGAGCATTACAACACGATGCAGGAATGGAGAGGAAAAGATGTCCCTCCTCATCAGCACTATCGGAGGTGCTCAGGTGTATTTGTGCAGGTGCATTCCAGGCGGCCCTTGAGGGAACACAGAGTGAGGGCCACAAGCGAGCAAGGAGAGCACGTTCGTCGTACTGCCAGCTGATGGGAGGTACCTGACCCTCTGAGATTCCCCAGGAGGTCAAGCACCCCTTCCCCACAATTATTTCCCAGCGTTTGCAAGGCTTTTCCTTCACCCAAAACGCTGAGATGGCTCCCTTATGGCTTGGCTACTGGCAGGAAGATCTGTAAGCTTAAGCATTTTTGGTCTCCACCATTTTTGGAAGGCAGCCCCCAGAAGCATCCCTGAAACGGAATTTGGCCCTTGGGCTGCAAGAGGTCCGACGCCCCTGGGACAATGTAACCGGGGCATTAACTGGTGAGCGGTACCTGCTAAGTCCCGTGTGTACTGCTCTCTGGACCGGTCCATTTGGCACTTGTGGCTGGCCAAAACCTTCTTCACCAGGTCCAGCATGCCAAAGTTCTGAATGGTGTTGTTGAGCAGGATAGCATCTAAGCAAAAGAAAAATGAGAAGGCGAACAACTACAATCTTAATTGCTATCGCTGGAGAAATTACAACTGTGTCTTGCTTTAAATCAGTTCTCTCCTCCTTACTGATAATGGGAGGAAGGAAGGGGAAGCGATTGCGATGCCTCATCTCTGGCTCCCATGACGCCTGAGGTGGCAGACCCATACATATGACGTGTGACTTCATTCAGTGGGGCTTGCTCCTGCCCAAGGAGGTTTGTTTAAAAACATAAGAAAAGCCCTGCTGGATCATACCCCAGCTCCATCTGGCCCGGGGCTCTGTGCACACAGTGGCAAAGCAGCTGCCCGCAGGATCCCTGCAGCAGGATGGGGGCAAGACCCCCTCCTGCCCAAGCCCCTCAGCAACAGGCACGTGCAGGCAGGCCGCCTCTGGTGAAGGAGGGAGCACGTGGCCAGCAAGGCTGGTAGCCACCGATAGCCTCCTCCTCCATGAGTAAGTCCAGTCCCTCTTGAAGCCATCCAGATTGGCAGCCATCCCCACTTCATGTGGCAATGAGTTCCATAGTTTAACAATCAGCTATGCGAAGAAGTCCCTCCTTTGATCTGTCCTAAACCTCCCACTCATCAGCTTCGTGGGATGAGCCCGGGCTCGAGTGTTACGGAGAGGCAGAAAAATGTCTCCCTCTCTTTCATCATACCATGCATTATGTCAAATGCCTCTATCATGTCTTCCCTGTCTGAGCTGAGCAATTCCAGTTGCTGCAGCTGCTCCTCACGGGGGGGGGGGGTGTTTACTGGTTGTTTATTATTCTATAGGTATAGCATTGCAGCCTAGATAAGTGCAACTGCCTTTCTTCTTAGACTGTAAGTTCTTTGGGAGCAGAGAGCTGATTTAGTTTTGATACTGTGTGAAGTGCTCTGTGCACTGATATAATTTCAGTTCCTGAATTTGTCACATTAAGCTATTTTCCCATAGTCAGCAAGGAGCAAAAAGAAGTGGATTTGTCCATGATTTCTGTATCACACAATCAGGTCCAGTTTTGTGATATATCTCCAATACAAAATGCCCCAAATCATTCAACTTCTGAATTCTGAGCTCACAATACCCAGGCTAATTAAATAAATCTGTAACACTGTCAATAAATGTTGCATCCTATAATTATATTATCAAAGGTTTTAGAATGTTGGCAAATGACTGGATGATAAGGAAGAAGGAAAAGTAGAGGAGAGGACATGGACAGATGAGCAAAGTACAGCGATGACGCAGTGCTTTGGAACCATGAGGACTAGAACTTTATTTTTACGTGAAGGCTGAGAATATCAGGATGGCAAATCTTGTACAACCCACCAGTCACAGGTGCAAAGAAAACACAAAGCCATAATCACAATCACTGTGAAGAGTCCTCATTCATCAGCTACCTGACATTATTAGAGTGGTAGGAATCAGAAAGGGCAAAAAACAGACTACCACTTCCTGGCTTCCCAACATTGCCAGCACTAGAGTAGCACATGAATATATCAATATTAGCTCCATGGCAATAAGCTCCCAGGCCAGGCCTTCAGGCCCTGGGCCAGGTTGGGCAAGGTGGAAGGACTGAGGATCCTGGGCTAGCCAGCCAGTAAGGTCAGAATGAATCTTAGGATAAGAAGGTCAGAATGAATCTTAAGATAAGATAATGAGTGCTGGAATTCTCACTGAGCAAAGGCTGGGCTGTGCCCTTAAAGAGATTAGGCAAAACAGCCCTGCAGGGGAGGATGGCCCATTGTCCAGAGTGCCTGGAAATTACCCCATCAATAGCAGCTAGCAAACACAGACAAAGAACTCACCCTTTTACCCATAGAAACAACAGTTAAGGCCATCAAAAAGTAATCCAGCATCCATCCAACCATTAGCAAAATTAGCACAAGTTTAGTCTGGGAAACTCCTCCGTCCCACAGTGGCAGGTTCAGAGAGAAATAGTATAAAGATCAGGGACTTAGAACATGGAAGTGGGGGCAAATGCTGAACACAGGCCTGGCACCCCCGTCTGTGGGCACCTTGCACCCTTCCTGCCCACACAAAGGACTGCTGTTGAGTGTCTACCCTGTGGGGTGGGTAACGGACTTCCCTTCTCCCTGTTGGTTAGCTTCACTCCTGCTTAGCAGGAAGCTCTTTCCCTTTTTAATATATATAGAGTAAGATTGGGGTGCAATGGGAGTATTTGCTGTCTAGACCAATAAGGCTCTGTATTTTCTACTGAATAAATTCCCCTTCCCAGAAGCATGCATTAAACCCCGCAAAAGACTCCAAACCTTTTGAGGCAAACCGGCAGGCAATACCTGGATTTCCTGCTATTTGCAGAGGATACATGATCATTTGATCATGTATCAAATGACACGCTTGATAGCAAAGAGGGTCCATGTGCCACCCCTTTCTTACCAGTGAGCTGCAATGGGGAATCCTGGCTTCTTTGCTGCAGGCCCTTCATGGTCTCCAGAAATGCCACATGGAACTCCTGAATCACTTCTTCCAACAAGCCCGCTTCCTTCAGACCTCGCCAGAATGTAAAGGTGTCATCTGAAGAAAAGTCAGAGAAACCTACAAAAATCTGCAAGGAGACTGCATGAATCAATATAACCCATTTTCCCACTCCAGCCACAGCCCTTAACCCCAACCCTCGTATTTCAGCCACTTCAGACTTAAATTGGGTGCTTTTAGGTGAGGGCGTTATGCTCCCGCTGCCCTGCTGTGTTTATGGAATTATACAGGAAATCTAGAAGACTTCTTCTGCTCATAACCCTTCTGTGTTTTTTCACCGCTTCGTCCAGCTTTTTTCTTATGGCAGAAAACCCATCCGGAAATTAAAGATAGATTAGCTGCCTTCCAAGGAGCGGTGCTGCGAGCAATGCAGGGGCAGGCATGTCTGAATGGCACCTGAAATCCTTGGATGGAAAACTAGAATGCCAAGGAGCAGGCTAAACTGGAACCTCTTCCCTGACTTCTATATGTAAGCAGTGCGTGTTTTCTAAAATCTCAGTCATGCAGATGCTGTGGGCTAAAAGAGGGACTCCAGCCAATGTCTGTCACATGACCCACTTCAAAAACATCTGCCATGAAGATGCACTCTCAAAGGTGCAGGACAGGTATATTTTTATTAATGACTGTTATTAAATGTCTTAGGGCACAATGCATTTGGGATACCTGGAATCTTTTGAATTAAGAGGATCACAGGCATCAAATGCAGGGCAGGAGGAACACAGAAATGAAGCTTGCAAAGCATGTAGGCCAATTCCGTGGCGGTGGGAGGGAGGCGGAGGTGCTACCCAGATCCAGCTATCTCAGCGGCATTGGTCTCCTTCCCCCCCTCCCCCACGGAGCATCCCCCAAATCTCCATTCTGTCTCTAAGATTGCTGCAGGACACGGTAGCCAACAGCTGTTTCTGCACAGGCCGCAAGCGTGGGGAGGAAGGGGACCCTAGTGCAGATGCCCAGCAGTGGGGTCAGGCCGATCCTCTGGCCACGTAAGCGGGGGGTCCAAGCAATCCTGTGGCCATCTCAAGGCTATCTCGCAGCCTCGGTTGTTCTGAAAGACTCCCCCCTCCAAGGATAAACAAAAAAGAGCCAGTGTCATTTGGCATGAACTTAAAACACACGCAACTTCAAACCATTTAAAGCAGCTAAAATATTTACTCATCAAACAGCACCACATGAATGCCAAGCTCTGTTAGTGTAACAGGATGCAGGCTTGGAAGGGGCACAGCCTTCCTCCTGCACAGGACCGCTGATGCTCGTCAGTCCTGAGGGGTATTTACAGGCCACATACCAAATGGCGAGAAGTGGCTGCCAGGACTGAGTCACAGCATTTTTGCTTCCAGCTCAGTGTTGCCCAAACCTGGGGTGTTGAACCTCTTTTAGCTGGAGGGCTGCTTTCAATTCTGGGGGCTGTATCCAGGGGTTGGCGGGGCTGAAGCAAAGCAGCCGAAGCCAAGGGCAATAAGGGTGGGGCCCAAAAGGAAAAATGCCAGCGAATCTCATTACACCTTAAGAGAGGAACTTCAGCTCTTAAAACTGGAATGGGGAGCTGCACAAAATCAGGAAATGAGTGGCGTGAGGAGCAAGGGGTGGAGCACAAGAAAGGGCGTGTGGCTATGTGGGGAACCCCAGAGGGGCTGGGATTGGGATCCCAGGGGATAACTTTGGCCCGAGATCCCTCACCTCTGCTCTAAATTGACCTGCAGCAGTGCACCAGGTTTTCAGACATGTGCTTTACCACTGTGCGAGGGCCAAGCATGCAAAGAGCACAATGACCAAGCAGCCCACAACGTCTATGTCTCTTCCCCCCGCCTCTTTTTTCCAGGTCTAGGCAGCCAATGTGGAATAGAGCTGGAGGCATGAGCAATGAGGCAGGCGGTCAGGACCACAGGTGTGCTCTCTGAATATCACCTCCAATGGCAGTAGTCCAATCGGCGGAGTCCTCACATGTTTCTATGGTGACGGTGGCAGGAGATCCATTCACTGCAATTAAAGGCAAACACAAATCCCAGTTTATGCCAGCAGAGCAAGCTACACCAACACTTTTTCAGCTTGCTCTTCCTCCATAGTTGTTCTTGTTCTATAAATCTGTTGTCACCACAGAATGAAATCCAGCTTTTCCTCACTTCTCCCAGCATTGCTCAAACAAAAGCTGATTTCAGTAAAGAGGTTCAGTATCTTCGCATTCTGTCTGTAGCTATGGAGGGTCTCAAAATAAGAAACCATGATGCACTGGGGCAGGACTCCATTTTGCCCTCATAACAAGGCATGCCAAGCTGAAACCGCTTCACTGGCACTGGATCCCCTAGTGAGTTTCATGACCAAGTGAGAACTGGAGCAGAGACATTTTTCTTAGATTTGGATGCTGGCCTCATTGTAACTCTAAAAGCAATTATGTCTTTTCAAAATCTATTATTTGGCTAACTCTCTGTGCGACCCAAAGCCAGGAGGAGCTGAAGTTGTCCTGACTGCATTTAATTTCTCATCTGTCAAACATGATCGATATTTCAAAGGGGAAGCCTTAAATGAAACTATCTCAGTTATTTAGCTAGTGGCAAGCTGCTGGTTTTGAAAGAGGACCCACATGAAGGGGAGTCTACAGAGCCCAGAGAGCCCAGCCAACAACCCATTGGGATGAAAAGCTGACAGGAGAGAAAACCTCAGCAATAATCAAAGCTCAAGGAGAGCACAAATCCATTATGTTAATCTTTTACACACACTGTGAGTGGGACGGCAGTAACAGGCTCCATGGAACACCTTGTAAGCTGTTTCTAGAGGAGTCAGCACGCTCGTGCTGTCTGAACTTAGGAAAATATGAGCCAAGCGAGAGTATTTCTGAAACGAAGGTTCAGGGAGCATTCCTCTTTTGAGCAAGAGATCTCCTTGCCAAGTGCATTGAGGAGTTTTCCAGAGCAGGGATCCAGTCGTGTTTGTGGGGGCACTTCTATGGTAAAGGTAAAGGTTTCCCCTTGACGTTACATCCAGTCATGCCTGACTCTAGGGGGCGGTGCTCATCTCCGTTTCCTGGCCGAGGGAGCCAGCGCTTGTCCACAGACAGTCTCTGTGGTCATGTGGCCAGCATGGCTAAACACCAAAGTGCACCTTTTTATTACTTGCATTTGCATGCTTTCAAACTGCAAGTTTGGCAGGAGCTGGGATGGAGCAGCGGGAACTCACCCCATTGTGCAAATTCGAACCGGCGACCTTTCGATCAACCAGCCCAACAGCACAGCGATTTAAACCACTGCGCCACCCACAGTCCCTGGTTAAAATGGTAGAGACAGGTTAAAAGGAGTTGTCTCTGTCAGAGCACTGCAAAAGTGCAGGCATTTACAACAAGGAATACAAAAAGCTTTCTATTTAAAGGGATAACCTGCAGTTGCAGAAATCAAACAGTTAAGGGTGCAAAATATCTCAGAAGCTTCAAAAGAAAACCAAAGAATACTCTGCAGTTTCCATTCCAAAGGCCAGTGAGATCAGAAAGGGATTTTTCTCCAGTCTTAGGCTTTATTCCTCTGGTCTTCCGTAAGGACGGATTACTCATGGGGAGCAGGAGGTTCATCCTAATGACTTCAGCCTTCCCCAATCTGACTCCCTTCAGATGTGTTGGACTCCATCTCCCATCATCCCCAACCCAGAATATTGCAATTCAACGCGTCTGAAGTGAGCCGGGTTGGGGAAGGATGGCTTACTTCAATGGTTTCTTTCCAGGAAGAATGGGCACCCCTGGTGTGAATAAGCCAGAAATGGAGAGGGAGAATTGGAGGATGAGGAGGAAGGTCTATCCCCCGCCAGCCCCAAGAAGCAACCGCAATGGAATCTGCCGCCATAATAAACCATGAGCGGAGCTGCTGGGCTTGGCTCCTGAGAGTTGCGCTGCGCAGTCCACGTACCGTCCGCGGAGGAAGGGGTGAGAGGAATGTACTCCGCTGAAGACTGGCTCGTCAGAGACACCCTGGCTCCGGTTAGGTCAATTTTGGTGCTCCGGCAGGTGTTGGAGCAAACTTTTGTGTGCTCGTAGAAATCCAGCTTGCCTGAATCCATGATTTTCCTAAAATATAAAGACGTAAGAGCATCCTTGAGGGATCAGGCCAAAGGCCAATCAAGACCAATGTTCTGCTCTCTGAGTGGTCAACCAAAGGCCTATGGGAAGTCCAGAAGCGGGACAGAAGCGTAATGGTGCCTTCCAACTCATGTTCTGCAGCTGCTGATAAAAGAGCCATACCATCTCCAGTACTGAAAGTCTTATACATAAAACACAGAAACAGAGAGAGGGCCGGAATGCCCACATATCATGATTCCAGAAATGCAACCTCTGGAAAAATAGCAACGCTTCAACGTCCCCATGTTAGGCTGACCTTAGCATGATCCCATTCATCCGGATGGCCCTCTTCCAGTCTTTCAAGGTGGACTTGCCCGCCAGATGGACAAATTCCTTGGGACTTATCAAGTGGTTGTCATACTGTAGGGAAGAGAGACAAGATATGGAACGAAGAGGCAGGGCGGCGCCTTATCAGCCGGCAGCAGGGCAGCCTGAGACAGGCGTACAGTGGGAGGTTCCGACTTCCCTGTCTTGGTCCCCGAGAGCTCTGCTGCCTCTCCTGGAATGCAGCAGTGCTAGGGAAAGAGTTTTCTGCTTGATTTCACCAACGCCGTGACACGGGTGCTGGTGGGAGGCTCGTTCACACGACAGAGGAAGGCCTGCGTGACATCTTACGGGGGGGGGGGGGGGGGAGAGGACCTCCACACTGACCTCCCCATGCCCCACAGCGCTCCATCCAGCCCGACCTGTAAATATAGAGCTGGACATGGTTTGAGACAATCCCCACCACCCTCTCCTTCCTCTAGCACATCTCTGACCTTAGCTAGGCTTCAACCAGGAAGAAAAATAGAGGGCTGTAGAGCACGGGTCCTCAAACTACAGCCCACAGGACGGATCCGGCCCATGCTGCTGTTCGCCTCCCGCATGCGCACTTGCTGCGTCGGCAGGGAGACGGTGGCTTGCCCGCTCGGAGATGGTTTTGGACTCGCTGGGAGATCTCCGAGCGAGCGAGCCACTGCCTCACCGGCCCGCGCCCCCGGCACCCCCACCTCCCCAGCCCACGACAGTCACCGCAGCCTTTCAGCTGGCCCCCTATTGAGAAAGTTTGAGGACCGCTGCTGTAGAGGGAATAGCCCGAGCTGTTCCCAGCTGCCCCAGCTTCATGTTCTGGCTAAGATCCAACAGTGGAAAGCAAGGGAAGGAAGTTGCTCCTTCTGTCCCCTTTCTAAATTGGTTGGAGGCCCAAAGGGGTCCTCGCTGGGGGTGAGCAGTGGTCACAACAAGGACCTGACTTAGTGCTTACCCCACTTGTCGTATTATCCACATTATAAGTCAAAACAGAAGGCTGAAATAAAACACCCTTTAAACAAACAGCCCAAGTAGTCCAGTAGACAGAGCCCTGGATTGGACCAATGAGCTGTGAGTTCAAGTTGTTCTGATCTCAGCCTTAGTTGCCCATTTGTAAAATGGGGACAATAGCAATCTGTCTCTCAGGCAAGTAAGATTAGAAAATGATCAAAAACCAGCACTAAATAGAATATTAAAGAGAAGGAAATTAAACTCATCTTTTTCTCTTGTCTCCTTTACAATTTTCTAATCGTGAGTCTCTTGATTTTCACATTAATTTTACATTAATTATTCTTTAGATTGTTGTTGTTAGGCATTTAACTGTAATCCTGAGCATATTTCTTTTGCCATGTTTCCTTCTCCTTCCAAGCTCTCTTGCCTTTTATCTCAATTAATTTTACTGAAATTGATCCGGGCTTGCTGGCTGAGCTTGCTCTTACAAATAAAAGGGGTATCCAGCACAAATCACAGTTCTTCACCTGTATTCTTTATGTTTCTATGCCAGAATGCCTTTTTTTTTGGGGGGGGGGGGCAAAAGGCAAGTAGGTAGAAAGATAAAGGTGTGTGGTTTCTGAGTTATATAGGAAGAGAAAATCTTAATTGAAAGCTAGAAGCGGGAAAGAGACTTAGGGGAGCAGATACCGCCTGCCTGCCATTAAGAAAACATGATGGCTGATAAAGGGGTTTGTTACAATGAATGATGAGAGCTTCAGGATGCACTGAATATCAGATTCCAAGAAGCTTGGAAGATGCTGGAGGCTACAGATGTGCAGCCCTGAATACAAAGACTTTATTTTCTATAATGCTGCAGGTTGTCTGTCATTCTTCTCACCTGGACACATTTCACGTTGATGCCAGGGCAAACAAACTTCCGCCATATTAGGTTGGCTTTGCTGTCTCCACAGGTGATGGGATAAACAATCTCAGCTTCCACACAGTCATCTTCTTCAGCCATCTTCACTTCAGGGAAAGGAATCAGAAGGGATAATTATTATTTTAAAAAAGGTTACAACCATGGATTACTCAATGTCAAATGAAGACATTTTGGATTACACACGTCAAAAGCCCTAAATCAGAAACAAAAGCCTGTAGACAGCCTGAAAAGCTATTTAACGTGGAACTGCCAGGTCACTGCTTCTATAAAACAGTTACATTAATAATATCATTATACTGTTTTTATAATGTGTTCTGTGTATATGCTGCTCCACAGAGCAATGTAAGAAAAAGATACAGGCCCCTGCAGTGAGAAGCATACAAGCTAAATTTCACCAAGCAGGGGAGACATCAAAAGAAAGGAAAGGAAGCAGTGATTATAATACAGAATATTATTTATGTATACAAGCACGCACACACACACGCACACACAATATTATATATAATAATATTATAATTATACAATATAGGGTAGTGGTTAAGAGCAGGGGACTGAGACTCAGCTGATCTGGGTTCTACTCCCCGTTCGGCCATGGAGCCAACAGAGTGATTTTGAGCCAGTCACAGACTCTCAGCTCAACCTACCTCACAGGGTTGTTGTGGTGGGGATAAGATTGAGAGCAGGAGGAGGAGAATGATGTCGGCCACTTTGAGTTGTTGTAAGAAAAAAGTGGGATATAAATCAAATAAATAAATATAAGGAAAATTGGAACAATAAAAAAGAATCCAATATTTCTTTTAAGGAAAGGTGACATGCAGCATATGATCCCCTCAGAGGGGCCATCCCCGTTCTCTGCTATGAATGGATCTTATCTGTTTTATAGCTTTACCTACATGGAGTCAGAATGAGAGTCAAATGTTATGATGCTGAAAACTGTCAGCCCTAGCTGGCTACCATCACCACTTCCTTCTCTTTCTGTATCACGCTCTTCTCCTGTATTAATGCATCTGTTCCAATTATCTGCCTGCCTTTATATTGGAAAGAAATTGCACTGGCTTCTTCCATACAGAGAGAATTTCCACAGGTAACACCTGTACTCAGATGCAGGGAATCTGCCTCTCTCCTTCAAAGCAGGCATGTTTCCTGCAATTCCTGGGAGGTCATTTCCCAAGCAGCAGCCCCAGCACCTCTGTGCAAACAGAACCACTTCAGATTCTGTTTTGCCTCAGTCATGATGCAAAAGAAGGGAAGCCCTACAACTGCGAAGGCGAGATGTGGCTCTCCCAAGCATATCCTGGCTCCCACTGTGACACTTTGCCCCAAAAACCCACGTGGGTTCTGCGGGCAGCCAGATTTTGGATTACAGACCATTTTGTCCTTAACAACATATACAACAGAGGGATTAATATCATAAGAGAGATGACCAATTATTATCATTACATTGCATGTATATCTCACGAGGAACACGAGGCAGTTTACACAGTCCTTGTATAATCATGGACCTGTGTCTTCCTCAACCAGCATGACTAGGACAGAACTGCCAGAGATGCTTGAAGCAATTCAAGGATGAAGCCAACTTTGCCTTTCAGCTGCAAATATTTAGCCAGCAAACAGTCCATTCTCTTGCATCGTGAATAGTCTGCATGGGGCAGGGTAAAAAGGATGAACATGAACTTCGTAGAGCTTCTCCTAAGCAAGCCTCAGAGTAATGCCTCCTCTTTGCTGCAGGCCTGCAGGAAAACGCTGAACATTTGCCTGTTTTTCTTGGCCTTCTTGTTGTGTCTTGGACTGCCGCAAGACTACTTGGACGGCTCCTTTTAACAGCAATGCCTATTTTTTTATTGATTTATTGTGTTTATGGAACTTTTTGGAACCTGTTTGGTATGGTTTTTACATTGCACACCGCCTCAGGAGGATTCCACCCTTGAAGGCAATATGAAAATAAATCTAAATGAATAATATTTTTGGAAGGGCATCCAAGTGGCACCCACCACTGACAACAATCCTGTCTACTTGGCAAGCCCCTTTCCATACTATGGCTGAGAACCAGTGTGCTACAGAGGTTAGAATGCTGGAGTGGGACTCTGGAGAACTAGGTTCTCATTCCCACTTGGTCATGAAGTTCATTGGGTGACTCTGGGCCAGTCACTCCCAGCCTGACCTGCCTCCCAGGGCTGCTGTGAGGATAAAATGGAAAGGAGGGGGAGGAGAAATGTATAAGCCGCCTTGGGTTTTTTGCAAGAGGAAAAAGGGTGGAGTATAAATAAAATAAATACATCTTGAACAACTGAATCCGCCCCTCCAGTTCCACTGGCAAATGAGTTTTACAGCAGCTCCAACCTTGCACAATGCTTATTCCAGGAGCAGGTTACAGCACTGTAAGCCTTTCAGCAGAGCCCTTTCTGCCTGACCCCAGCAGGCAATGCAGCTTGTGGATGCAAATGTCCGTGATACAAAGAGAGGCCAGCCTCTGCCATTCCCTGCACTTACCTAAAAGGGCTTCTTTCAGATGTGCAGAGGCTGTAAAAGCAGCAGCTGCTGCAGCTGCTGCATTTTCTGTCTCCAGGGTGTCTTCATTTAGGTCACTGCTAGTAAGAGAAAAATCCATCAATCGTTTACCAAAATAAGGGGACGGGAACAGTTTGGCTAGGGAACAAATCACTCTGCAGTTCCTTAAACTATAATACTCGAAAGGCTGAAGGTTCTCCACTGGCAAAAGCCAAAATACAGTCAGGAACACAATCTTATATGTGTTTAGGAAGGAAAGTCCTACGACTGCCAGCACGCCTCAGCTACCTTTGCAGGCCAGGCTGTGCAGGAAATTGCAGGCTATTTTTCTATCCAAGCACACAAAGAACTATATGCTACACAATTGTAATAATGAAGTCTCCTGACTAACACAGGGTCCAAACTATATTAAAGAAGAGGAGGAGCGCTACTGATGTCAGCAATGCAGAATTAGCTGCAGCTCCAGAAGCCTGAGAACCTAACCCTGCATAACAAGCAGCAATTTCCTAGTCCTCATTGATATGAAATGGCAGGGGATATTGGGTCTGTTCCTGATAAATTTCTATCCCCTGTGCAGGCGTTCATCTGCAACATGAGTAGGGCTACACGTGGGAAAAGGTGCGTTCAAATATGCAGACCCTGCCACCAAATATCCTCATGTGCCCAGCTGCATTAAAGATCTTTGCATTTTTAGTGCAAAGATCTGAAAAGAGACATAGATGCACATTTGGCAGGAACTTGGCAACTTGGGCTCCCAATCAGAGCAGCTTTGAAAGACCATTCACCCAAGGATGCCCACAAGCTGTTTTTCAAATCTTTCTTCATAACATGCATATTATATACTTATTTATTTATTATAATATATCCCACCTTTTTCCTTCCAGGGAATTTAAGCTGATTTACATAATTCTCTCCCCCATCTCATCCTCAAAACAACCCTGTGAGGTAGGCTGGGCTGAGAGTCTGTGACTGGCCCAGAGTCACCCAGTGGGCTCCATGGCTGAGCGGGGACTCGAACCCGGATCTCTTAGCCCCGCCCTCTTAGCCACTACACCACACTGGCTCTCTCAGTACAAAGCTCTTTAAACAGTTGGTCATATGCAGCGATTTGAAAGTTGAGGCAGGCATCTGTCCCGCCTCCCAGACCATCCTCAGCCCTACCTAAGGCTCTGGAACCTAGAGGCATTTAGATAGAACGCAGCGTTTCCGATACAGGAATGATGTGTCTTCATTCAGAACCTGCAAGTCTCTCCATTTGATATCACTAGTTATCTGCAATCCAAAGCTGAATCCCAGCCTACTTTTCCTACCTGTGGGAGAGCAGATGATTCACACTGGGGCTTAAATTGCTTTATCTCAAAAGCAACAATACCCTACCAACCCAAAATAAATCACCAGAATAAAATAATTAGCATCAATTTGTGAAAATGTAGGCACATGCTTTGAAAGATCAAGTTCTACAGTTCCTTGGCTTTACATTAAAGCTTCTCAGGACATTCGTAGGAAGCCAGGCTGTTTCCTTGCTAGCTGTCTTCACTCACAATGACAATCTGCAAAGAAATACCCACGTTAATCCTGCCAGAGCAAAACAAAAATAAAACTATTGAGACATGGGTCATAAAGATGCCTCTGCTGTAGCCCAGGAAAAATAGACAGGAAAAAGAAAGCCTGGACTTGGTAGAGAAGCAGGCCAGAGGATTTCAAGCTGAATTTTCCATTATTAAATGTCATGAATTTATGAACTGTTCATTGGCGCCCCATGTTCAAAATGTGGGAATAGGCTGGAGTAGAAAGAAAATGAGTTCCATGGAAAGGGCCATGTCCTGGATTTTGAACAAATGTGGTGTGCAGTTGTAATGTGAACTGGAACCTCCTGGTTGGCCAACTGTAACAGCCTTGAACCTGAGACCAAAGAGGGGAGCAGGAAACGGATTGTTCCACTCATACTCCAGCTCTAGCACTTTAATATTCATCTCTGTATTTACAGTATGTCCGTACCACCCTACATCCAAACAGATTCCAGAGCAGAGAACAGTATGAAGCTTCACAAAGAAGAAGAAGAAAAGCAATGCATTAACAATAACAAAATACCACTGAGATCGTGAGTGGCTAGCAAGAAAAGGCTTCCCAGAATAAGACTGACTTTAGCAGGCACTGCACAGGTGCTGGTGCCTGCCTGACCTCTCGAGAAATGGGACAGCCCGCAGAAATGGGGCCACCGCACTGAAGGATGTTCTCCTGCTAGACTCCAGGAGGGCCCTGGGTCCATGCAGAGCCACCAGGAGAATGTCCTCTGATGGCCTCAGCTATTGGCGAGTTGGGGTGGAAGAAGATCCTTTCTCAAGTATTCTGGCCCAAGTGGTTCGCACTAGCACTCAAACCGTACACATGGCCCAGTGGCAAACTGGGAGCCAGTGCAGGTCCTTCAGCCAGAGCTGCATGCTGAAATGTGGCAGGTCCCAACCACAGCCAGCCTTCTGGGGCAGCAACGATGCCTGCTTACAGGGCTCCTCCTCCATGTGCTGCAGCCACTGGGAAGGCCGCCAGGGGCACCACTGGGGGTTGCTGAGCATTCATGGACTTCCCCTTGGCTCGGCTTGCTTTGGAGGACTCCTGGAGAGGCAGATTCCAAAAAGGTTCCGAAAGAAAACGGATTCAGAAAGACGAGACAGAGGTGCTGTTGGTAGGCAAACTGTCTGTCCCGCTGGGAGATATTCAGCCTGTCCGAGACGGGGTTGCACTCCCCCGGAGGACAAGGTTTGCTGCTTGGGGGTGTGCCTGCCTCCCGATGTGTCACTTGACTCGCTGGCGGACACGGGGGACGGGGCACCTTTTCTCAGCTTAGGCTGATTTACCAACCATGGTCCTAGCTGAACAGGCAGAGGCCAGCTCCAGTGATCCATGCTCTGGTAGCCTCGCATTTGGGCGACTGCAATGTGCTGGAAGAGGCTGCCTTTGGAAACGGTCCGGCAACTTCAGCTGATACAAAATAGGGCAGTGCGGCTGGAGAGGGACTGGCCTGCAAGATCTTATTACACCTGTCCGCTGTCAGCTGTGCTGGCTGCCGCTTGAAGCCGAGGCCGATCCAAAGTGCTGGTATTAACATGTTAGGCCCTACATGGCTTGGGGCCAGGCCTCATCCTCTACGTGCCTGCCTGGCCTTGGGCTCTTGCATCATGCTGTGGGGTCCTTCTCAGGGAGCCCCCTCCCATGGGAGTAAGGGGGGGGTGACGACCAGGAAAAGAACCTTTCAGGTGTAGCAGCCCATCTCTGGAACATGCTCTGCAGAGATACACATCTGGCACCTAGCCTGCCCTTTAGTCTTCGCACTGTTTTTATTAGATATTGCTGCTGTTCCTGTGTGCTAACTCAATGAATTGTTTGGGTATGTTGTTACTGCTGTCATTGTATCGGCCTACTTTTACTGGGACTGAGCTTTTGCCTATTTCTTTGTTTCTCTGCCCTTTTAGCTTTGTAAACCGCCCAGAAAGTCATTTGGCTATTGGGTGGTATGGAAATGAAGCAAACAAGCAAGCAAGCAAATAACCCCAGGCCAGCGCTCCAGAGCAGAGCACACACTCAGCTTTCAGGAGATCCCCAACTCAGTCCCAGAATCTCTGGTTAAGGTTCTGAGAACTAGAGAAGACACTGCCAGTCTTGAAGGGAGTAGCTAAACAGTGCTCTTTATAAGGCAGCTTCGTCTGCAAGCATTCCCTGAGTTTCTTTTTTTAACACAGACCTGCCCATCGTTGAAGCTGTCCTGACACTGGCACTGCAGGGCTCCCTTTTCTAACATGACATGCCTCTCTGAAAGGGCAGGTGCATAGAGAGCAGAGCACGGGAGCTCCGCTAGCCCACCCGCATCTGTGGACAGAAGACAGACACAGCAGTAGCTCTGCGTGTCCCTCTAATTAGCTGCATCTGCAGAGGGTACTAAACTGTTCATAGAGAGCAGAAATATAATGAATTACATTTGTAATATATCACAAAGACTTAACTAACAGGCTGCAAAGCGGAATTCTCCACAATTCTGTTTTGCTCCCCTCCCCCTCCGCCCCACTTCCTCCTTTAGTAAAAAGAAATAAAACTAAACAACAAAACAAAACAAAAATAGAAGGGCCTTTTCTGTGGTGAGACCCTGGATGTGGAATCTGCTTGTGAGAGAGCTGTGCCTGGCACCAACACTATTCATTTCAGCGCCAGGCCAAAACCTTTTTATTTACCCAGCATTTTAATGGTTGATTGCTTTTATAATATAATAGAATTGCTTTTAGTGTATTGAAATTATGTCTCTAATGTGCTGATTTGCTTTGGGTTTTGTAAGCCATCTTGAGACCCATCCCAGAGATAGATGGGATGAAAATGTTTCAGATAGATAGCTAGAGCACAACACAGCAGCTGCTCCTACCATAGGCACTTCGATGGAGAAAGCAATTACTCAGGCAGCTCCACCTAGTCCTTTGTAAAAAAAAAGAAGGAAAAAAGCAGCATGTATAGGATGTTCCCATGACAGAACCCGTGGGTGGCAGCAATGGTAAGATTTTGTGAGAAAGTCACTCCGCAGAGTTTCTCTCCAAGAGGATTAACCAAACAGACAGAGCGTAGATGGAAACAAGCTCCAATGAAGCAGTTGGCTTGCTTCTGTTCCTAAGACTGATCTCAGGGGAAACCGTTTCTGTCCTAATCAAAAGATGAGTAGGCAGCAACTGTAGTGAGAAATAAGTCAAATGACAATGAGTTCTGTGCTGGACTCTGAGCTTTGAACAGGGAATCCTTTGCCCGAATCGGGGGCTTAGCCCAGTGCACTCTTGTGGCTCCAGGCCTCTCTTCAAACGAGAGAAAGACAAGAGAATCCAGCCTCATCCACTATGACTGGCTGCCAGCACGAAGCCTCTGCGCTTTCCACTCCCCAGAAGCGATGTGTTGGAGGACGCGTGCTGCCCCACTCCTGGCTCTCTGCATGGCTGTCAACAGCCCTGGCTTGCCTCTAACACAGGCTTCCGACCTCTTTCCTTCCTATGGAACAGTGATGGATGCACAGGGCTAGAAATGGCCTAGTTTGGCCTTCTACTCAATTACCTCTGTTTTTTAGATGCACACAAAACAGCTCAAACTGTATCTTCTAATTAAAGCCAACTTATGCTGCAATCCTTTACATATGCCGACAGAAGAACTGTGCCACGAAGGCTGGAGAATGCTGCGAGTTGTCATTTTTCTTTTTCTAACCAAACACTGCAGCTTTAGTTGACAATAAAATAACACAAGTGAAGCTCTGTATTTTCTAACGGAAGTTTCTCCAGGTATTTTTAAAAATGCCCTTGTGGGTTCTAAGCGGGGTTCTCCCCATCCAACCTGCAGTGGAACGAACAGAGGGAGTGTACCAGCAGCACGTGCAACCGTCAAGGGTCCCCCCCCCAGGGGCCGGTGATCCCCGTGGCTTACCCATGCTGGGACAGATTGGTGGTGACTAGGACGGTTTTCACCTCCTCCATGCCGCTGCCGTCAACCACATTGTCTGGGGTTGTTACCACCACCACCTCCTCCATGTGAACGCTCACATCTGGGGTCGCCATTCTCACAAGAAGGAATGGGGCAAGCACCCACAATACGAGAAGGGCTCCTTCCGGAACCTCTGTCCTAGAGAGGAAACATAAATGGAAGGAGTTACCACACTACTTATGTGAACAGCAAAACATTGGGATCACACACTTTCTAGCAAAAGGTTTATTTGGCTTCACCAAAATAGATTGCAGCCAACAGGATGAAAAGCCAAATCGCCACCATGGGACATTAGCTGCTGCCAGAAAAACAAGAAGTCAAAATTATTTTTACTGTTTACTGTACAATTATCTTTGAGGTATTGTGCAGTGCCCCGAGCTTTGTGCTTGGTCTACTGCTAATTTTAAGCCTCTTGCAGTTCGTCTTATACCCCCTGAAAACTATGAGTATTCATTCGTTTATTAAATTTCTGCCCTGTCCATTAGTCAAAACAGCCAGTCAGATACAGTGTGGTTATTTTCCTGTTGTAAAAAGATTTACATTTACTTTACTGGATGAAATGTTTGAATTGAATTTGGAAAAGAAACATACCCTTCAAATAGGATGCAATGCCCATCTGTCTAAGAGCCTGCAATAATGATCATAACGCAGCGTGACAAGAACCATGAGCAGACTGAAAGATTTTTAAATAGATCCCTCAGATAGCTCTACGTAACCCTGTAACTTTAGCACCCTGGGTGATGCAGGCAATTTCATCCCAGGACGTCAACACCAACAAAAGTGTCACGGCCAACTGCTTGCCAGTGAAGGACTGGGAGCAGCTGCTGCCAGGGTTGAATGTGGGTCACCTGGCAAGTGACAGACTATGAAAGGTTCGATTGCCCACCTGCACCTCAATTGCCCACCAGCAAAACTCAAATCAGGGAATAGCTATTACATCGGTCTTAGCATGCTCCAGTTATTAATATCTGGATGGTCCCCTTCATTAACCTCATCTAATATTTATCTCCCTTCTGTAAAATAAACACTGCAATGTTAGCTTTGCTAGGCTACCACAATGTACACACCAACAGCAGAATGAAGAGAGAATGCAGGGTTAAGGGCTTTAGATGATATGGCAGACTAAAACACTCAATGTTGCAAAAGACTTTTCCTTTTTTAATTGCTTTGCGTAAAAACAAAAACAAAAGGAAAGAAAATGTTGTGACAAGATGCCAAAGGATTAACCAGTTTTTAGAGGGTTATTTAGTCACAGTGGAGAAAAACTACATAACGGAGCATGCATTAACATCTCCTCACCACAGCACCATAAACACACACCATTCTGAAACTGCAAAAGTATCTCATGAACAAGAAACAGAAACAGACACGAGATCCCCTGCTGCAGGTCTGCTCTGTCGCCATTTCAAATGGGTAGCATCCTAGAGAGGGCATTCTGTAGGAAAGTTTTTGTTTCTGGGGCAACCACATCATAGAGGAGTTAAATGCTGGTAAACCGAATCCTAAAGAGATGACTCCTTCTGCACCTAATGGATGAGTTGCAAAGGCATACAGAGTAGCGTGAGGCTGGCCCAGAGAGGAGACAAACCCTAGCATCTCATATACAAACTGCAGAGGCCATTTTCTCCAGCTAGCAAAAGCTGCAGCCTCTTAAGATGTTTTTTTAAAAAAACTACATGTAATATCTTTGCTGCATTCTGCTTTCGTTTCAACAAGAGTCCAAAACAACAGAATGCAGTTGCGAAGATACATGGATAATACTCTGGGGCAGACGTTTAGATCCTTTGATCTCTAATCTGGAAAAAAAATAATGGCTTTCTCATGCACGAAACCTTCCTGAAAGTTTGGCCCACACTAATGATTGTGACAGCAGAAAGATTAAAACAGATTTTGGGGTGGGGGGGGTGGAGTTCAGTGGTGAAAGGGTGAGTGAAATTGTCTCACCTCTTTTGTATTCTCAGAGTCAGTGAAGGTAAATTTTGAGTCAAAAGAAGCTCCACCATTTGCTTCCAAATATCTAGGAATTACGGTACATCAAGAGCTTCCGCATCACCCACAGCTGGTAAGGCATCTGGTAGAGAGTTCTTAAGTATACAAGACAGAGAGAAAGTTAACTAAAGTGAAGCCTCTCAAAAAACAGAATTTCTAAGCAGTGAAACATTGTGTCCAGCTCCTAAGGGCCCCATGCCTTCCAGTGAGAACCTAGAAGTGGCTCTGAGGCCCAGATAATTAGAAATCTGGAGGTTCCATAAACTGCAAGACATATGTCCTTATGCATGCAGAACATATGCAGCAAGTATAATATTTGAGAGCTTATACAGCCAGGAATTTTCAAGAAGTATGTTGTATATTCATGTAGGCTACACTTTCTGCATGCCTGAATGTTTATATGCAAGGACCATAAAATAAAAACAAGTTCTCTGCTCTATTGTAAACTTTGCCTACGTCAGTTCCCAAGCCCTAAGAGGTTTCAGTTCCTTGTAAACATGGGGAAAATACTTGCTCAGAGTATAGAATGCCACAAGCAACATGCAGCAGTGAGCCAAAAGGGATGCCTTTTAAATGAGGGGCATATTGCAGGCAACATCTAGAAGTGCTCAAGACAGACCACCTCAAACTCAAGGGGGGGAGGGAAGTGGCATCAACCGGACAAGCAGCACTTGCAACCCAAGTTGAGTTAGACGTGCCTGTTGCAGAATCGATTTGCTGAGGCAGCAGATTAGGGCAGGGAAGACTGGAGCAATCTGTAGTCGCTTCCGAGGCTGGACCCAGAATCCCGAAATTTTGGTCCCCTTGTCGCAACTGCTGAGCATCCTTCTTTGGAAGCAAGTCCCACTGAATTCAAGTTATTCTCAAATTTCTATGTGTGGGATTGAAAAGAGCAGTGTTGCGACAGCCATATTACTACATGCAATATGCCGTGGGTGGCAAGCTGCATCTCATCACACAGCAGAACAGGCCAGAACATGAAGCAATGCAGAGCCCGGAGTATTTATTTATTATTTATTTATAGCATCTGTATCTTGCCCAATTGTGCCACAGCACGTCTGGGCAGCTCATAACACAAGATAAAAACACAATAAAACATAACAAAAACCATAACATATTATAAAAACAGTAAAACATACAAAGCAAAGGTCTATGGCAATTAGTTACTAAATTTTTTTTCTTCTTTTATATTTTATATTTTTATTTATTTTATATTGTTAATTTTAATTTTATATTGTTATTTTTGTATTTTATTGTATTTTATTGTGTTTGTAAGCCGCCCCGAGGCTTCAGCAAGGGGCGGCATAGAAATGTTCTAATAATAATAATAATAAAGGAAGGTTTTCGCCTGGCACCAAAAAGAAAGGAAGGAAGGCGCCAGGCAAATCTCCTTGGGGAGAGCATTCCAAATATGGGGAGCAGCTGCAGAAAAGGCCCTGCTCCTAGCAGCCATCCCGCTCACCTCCCTAAGGGACGGCTCACACAGGAGAGCCCCCTGCACAGGGGAAGACACATACAGGTATAGGCACTCCCAAAGATGACTGGGGCCTAAGCTGTTTAGGGCTTTATATGTCAACACAAACACCTTGAATTCAGGCCAGGCCACGCCACAATTAGTAATCAATGAAGATCTTTCAGTATAGGTATTATGTGACTCACTCCAGGGGTGCCCGTCACCAACCAAGCAGCCCTATTCTGTACCAACTGTAATTGCCGGACCTTCTTCAAGGGCAGCCCCATGTATGATCCGAAGACATATCAGGCACCCATCCTGTTGAAGCTAAGCAGGTTTGGGGCTGACCTGAGCTTGGAAGGGAGACCTCCTGAGAACCCTGAGTTCCACAATAGGTAAAAGGTGGGATATTAATATAATAAATTATAGCCATTCCTCCATGGCCAATAATGAATGGTTTGTACACAGGGCTGTAAGAGCAAGCTAGGGTTTTGCAACTTGGCACCATCCAGATGTTCTGGACTAGTTCCTATAATTCCTGACCATAGGCCATGCTTTCCGGGTTTGAGCAATCTGTAGTCCAAACACCTGGAGGGAAACCTGTTGCTTACCCAGCCCTAGATGTAATGAAGATTATGATAATACGAAATGGGTTCAGGGAAGGGGAAAACGTAGGAAATAGTTCAGCTTCTGTTTTAAAATGGAGGATGCTTCTTTTAAAAAAGTGATATAAATCTTATTAATAAATAAGAGGGGAATTACATAGTCACTACCCATAAGCAGAGGTAACACCATAACTGATGCACACAAATAACGCATCTGATCATGTCTCTGGTTCACAGAGGTCTATGCCACAATATTATTTCTTACAGCCCCATCCTATGCGTGTTTACCAGGAAGTTCTACAAAATCAAACGGGTTTTAAGGTAGCTTCAGATAAGCCTTTTCTGATGCTAACACCTTTCCACATGTATAGAATCTTTTGTCTTCAACTCAGAAATTCCTTCCTACCACTTTGTCTTACTGCAGATACTCTGCTAAGGAAGAAAAGATGAACTAGCAGTACAATACCTTGAACTGATAGCAGGAGTGGTCTGAGTGGAAGCAGTTTTAGCCTCAGGAGAATATCCAAAGGACCACCCTTGGGCAGGGAGTTACTTAGAACTTAGAACAGAACTTATTCCGAGTAAACACGCATAGAGATGTGCTGTCAAAGGAGTAAACCCCATTGAACACAGTGGTGCTTTTGCACTTGACACAAGCTTAGGAATGTGCAGAAGTAAGTATTTCCTGTTGCACACCCTAAAACCTATTTTACGGGGAGGCAGCGGGCAAGACGGGTGGATTTCTGCTTGAGCGCCGCACGCCCGCAGGACAGCTCGTGGCGCCAATGCAGACGCAGGCGGGCGCGAGGAACAGGGCAATAAAGGCGCAAGACTAGGTGTAGCTAGAGGGGGGCGAAAGTCCTACAACTCCCGGCATGCTGGCGGGGCATGCCGGGAATTGTAGGACTCCCCCCCCCGCCCGATTACGACCGTTTAGGATTGCGCCCGGGTTCGCTCTCCCGCGCCCTCTCTCTGCGGCGCGCGCGGGCGGCCCGGCGGCGCTTCCCTGCCTGCCTGCGCCACTGGCGCCGCGAGGGGAGAGCGGGGCGGGGGAGGGGCGCGGGCGCCCAGCGCGCGCGAGGGAGGAGAAAGGCGACGCCGCCGCAGCGCCGCCGCCGCCCCGCCGCCGCCGTAACGTCCTGACGCTCCGCAGGGACCCGCTGACTGACTGACTGGCCGGACGGACGGACGAGGGTGCGTGCGTGCGTGCGTGCGTGCGGAGGCCCGTCGCGGCGGCGGCGGCGGCGGCTTCTCCGGGGCTCTCTTACCTCAGCCGCTGCTGTCCGACCCCCGGTGATCAGGTTCCAGCGACGACGGGGAGAGGGGAGGAGAGGGGGCAGGGGGATCCGCTGTGGGGTTGGGGGTTGGGGATGAGGTGTGGGGGGGGGGGATGCCTGTCTTGGCTGGGTATGAGGGAAGCTTGGGCTCCAGGGCGCGCGGGAGCGCGCCGCCTCAGTTCTCTGTCGCGCAGGCGCACATCGCTGCTCCAAGGCCGCTACCTCTGCGGGACTTACTTCACGCGGGGAGAGCTGAGGAGGCCGCGCTCGGCACTGGGGAGGAGGGTGTTGTAAATTTCAGGGCGGCCTTGTGAAATAAGTCCTGCGGGGAGGCCTTCGCGCCTGCGCGGCAGTCAGAGGCCCGCGCCTCACCATCCCCTCCCCAGCGCGTGCGGGCCCTCCGCGCGTGCGTGGCCTTGGCGGCTTCGCGCGCCTTTTTGCCGGGAGCGCGCGCGGGGAAGGCTTCCTGCTGCTGCTGCGGCGGCGAAGGCTCCTGTTTGCAGGCGGAACCCCAAGCCCCAGACGTAGCTCGAGCGGGAGGGAGTGTGTTATTGGTATGCATAGGGCATCCTGTATTTGAAAGCCTTTGTATTTTTTTTTTTTTTGGATTTATATCCTGCCTTTTTCCTACAAAGGGCTCAAGGCAGCTTGCATCATCTCTCCTCCTCCATCTTATCCCCACAACAACCACCCTGTGAGGTAGGTTGGGCTGAGAGTCTGTGACTGGCCCAAAGTCACCCAGTTGGCTCCATGGCTGAGTGGGGACTCGAACCCAGGTCGTCTGAGTCCCAGTTTCATGCTCTTAACCACTGCACCACACTGGCTCTCTTTGATGGCTGGGAGCAGAGAATGAAAATGCTATTGAAATGGGATTACTTTAACGGAAAGAAAAACCTTCTTAACTCTCCTCACACCAGCCTAAAGATGTGTCGGGACAAAATGAGCAAAGGCTCTTCCAAAAGCACGGAGCTGTAAGAGCAGTGGGATCCTGATCTGATTACAAGTTGTGCTTCCCACCTGCCTTTAGAGATGCTAAAGGTTGCCTGGCTTGCTCAGGTTCATTCTTAAGCTAATTGTTTACCTGTCCTGAAGGTTCTTTTTTGTATTGTGTTGTCTTAATCCCATTCAACCCTTACACCTTATTCCCATGCACTTCTAGCAAACTGCCTACCTGGTGTGTGTCTGTCCCCCTCCCCCAAACTGTGTGTGTAACTTGCAACTTATAAAAGTATCCTGTTTGGAGTCCATCTTGGTAGTCCTTCAGGGGCTGCCCACCTGCCGCAAGTATTTCCCATGTGTCTGAATAAACTGTACATGTTCTTTTGATTGTACACCCTCAGTGGACTTTTAAAGGGTGGGTTTTTTCACTCTTATGCGTAAAATGTTGCAACGTGTATAGAAAGACAGGACCTTAAAGTTGTAGGGCTCAGTCTCTGCAGGTTGAGACAGAAATAGGCATAGCTAACTGGGGCATGCTGGGATTTGTAGGCCTGTCTAAATGTAATGGAGGAGAGCCTTACAATTCCCAGCATGCCCTAGCCAGCCACAGGCAGGAACAGGTCTTGAGGTTGTGTTTTTGAAATAAATTTGCTAGAGGCACCTTTATTAAAGTGGAAACAGCTGTTTTAAGGGGAATTGACCTCCATAATAACCTACAAGATAGTCTGGAAAACACCTTCCTAGCAGATAAATAATTATTTTATTTATTTTATTAAAACATTTTTATGCCGCCCCATTCGCATATCAGGTTGCACAAAAACAGTTCTTTATTAGTCAGGCAATTGAAATAATGCAGAAGTTTCAGAGGGCAACCCATGTAGCATTCATGTGCTGTTGGGAGCTACAATTCTCTGAACAGATCACATTTTTACTGTTGAGCAATTACAGTTCATGGAACAAAGTGAAAAGATGCTCACTCTTCTTTCTCAACTCCCACCCCTCTGCCTCCTTCTCAACAAAACTTTTCCAAACCAAGTCCAAGGCCTCTTTGTTTTATTTCTATAGAATTGTAGATGTTTTTCTGTCTACACTTGCATAGGATTTCACCTTTAAATATTGGATTGTGATATTATTTGTATTGGTCTGTCTAAAGTATGTGTGTTGCTTTCTGCAATAATATAAGTCTTCCAAGGTAATAGATAGAGAATTAATCCTGCTCCCCACCCCACAGTCAAATTTCAAGTGAAGTCAAAGTATAGGGAAGGTAAGGTCCATTGGAGAAGACAGTTGCTATACGGAAAGTTGAAGGCAGAAGAAGAATAAGTGGAAGGTCAAACATGAGATGGATGGATTTCATAAAGGGAGTCCGTGGCCTTGCATTTAGAAGAGCTGAGCAGGGCTTTCTTGCACAGGCCTTTGGGATGGAATTCACATGAGTCAGAGCGGCTCTACCAGCGACATTTGCCAGAATTCCACATACTTTAGTTGAACGGCGACGGATGTGTTCACTGCTGAAATCATTTCTTGAATGATTTTTCAAAGCCTCAAGTGAGAGACTTCTTCAAAGCTTGGTGCCGAATTTGTTGGCACCCCATTACCATCTTGGAAAAGGTGGCCCCGTCATCCTAACCTGCTGCTAGCACTGAGGAGAGCTGCTCTGGAAGGGTCGCGCACTGGTGCTGCACGGCTGTGGAAACGAACATCTACAAAAGAGAATTTAGTTTCATGAGAAAAAAATCGCTGCACAGCTACTGTGAAGACCTGTGCAAAAGTTACGTGGGTGAAGCCGCCCTAACAAGAACCAATGGCAGTGACCCCGTTGCAAAGAAAGTCTCTGATTTTTTAAAAGTTGCAGTGAAGAAAGTGTGATTCATTGTACAGTTGTGATAAATTCAGAGGTGTCTCCTTTCCCCCATCATATGGAATAGTGAATTATTGTTGCTTCGAGCCCTGTTGTTGCTTGCTGTCCAGTGTTGCCTCGTTGGCTGTTTTCTGAATGAAGGATTTGCCCCACCCTCCTTATTGAAGCCTAGCCTAACTTTAAATTTTGGGTCTTAGTATGACTGGTAATATCAATTGAAATAAATGTGTGGTGACCTTATATCTCCTGGCAAATAGATGGGGAAGAAATGGAGGTAGTGGCAGATTTTATTTTCCTGGGCTCCAAGATCACTGCAGACGACTGCAGCCAAGAAATTAAAAGACACTTGCTCCTGGGGAGAAAAGCTATGGCAAATCTAGACAGCATACGAAAAAGCAGAGATATCACCCTGCCAACTAAAGCGCGTATAATCAAGGCGATGGTTTTCCCAGTTGCAATATATGGCTGTGAAAGCTGGACCATAAGGAAGGCTGAGCGCCGAAGGATTGAGGCCTTTGAATTGTGGTGCTGGAGGAGACTCCTGCGAGCCCTTTGGACCACAAGGCGATCAAACTGGTCAGTCCTAGAGATCAACCCTGACTGCTCTTTAGAAGGTCAGATACTGCAGATGAAACTCAAATACTTTGGCCACCTAATGAGAAGGAAGGACTCCCTGGAGAAGAGCCTAATGCTGGGAACAATAGATGGCAAAAGAAGGAGGGAACGGCAGAGGACGAGGTGGCTGGATGGGGTCACTGGGGCAGTGGGTGTGGGCTTGAGTGGACTCCAGGGGATGGTGGGGGACAGGAAGGCCTGGAGGAATGTGGTCCATGGGGTTGCGATGGGTCGGACACGACTTTGCGATTAACAACAGCAACAACAACCTTATATCAAAAAAAAATTCTGCAGAGGGGAGCAATGCTGTCCCCAAGTGCTGCCCCAGAAGAGCAATAGCCCATTTTTGGAGAATGAGCCGTGGAAACCTTGCATTATCCCATTGTGTCTGTTGCAGACCTGTGCCCATTTTCATCGACTCACATGCTAAAGGGCTGCAAGCCCAGAGACTGGTGGGATATCTTGTTTAGCCTGTACTTTCACTGTTGCCCGCTGGGAGGGCCTTGCCCGAGGAAGTGAAGCAGGGGCCTGGACCAAGTTGGCACTGCAAGTGAAAGTCTTGGGAAAAGGCCTGTGGTAGCCAGAAAGTCCTCCAAACACTGCTTGTACCCTGGGGAGGACACAGCACAGAACTGACATGCCAGGCCAGAAGACGTGTCTCAGCAGCAATGTACCTCTTGATTCCCAAGGACTTGGGGGAGCCAGGCAGAGGAAAGCCTCTGATTGCCTCTTTAAAGCTAGGAAAGGCCCATGGAGCTCTGGGGGTTGTGGGGGGGGGGGATAATTGGCTCTTCCTCTGATCCAAGGCCAATTTAAGTGGATGGAAAGGAAGAAGAGCACAAGGGGTCTTCAAGGCTGACAAGAAGATCTTCAAGGCTGACAGAAGGTCACCCAAGAATGAATAAGTTGCAGGTAAACTGACGTTGCGCTACCCAGACCCGCGACTAAGGAAATCAGCAACCTCCTTAGAGCTCTTGCAAAACCAACCAGGGCCACGGCAGGTGTGCTACCAAGTCACGTAATAGCTCCTACTGGTGCCCAACTATGTATTAATTCAGCAGAGTCATGGACATCCAATTCCCTAGGAAAACACCTGTATCTTTGTTTTGTGACATCTCATAGAAGAGTAGAGGTGGAAGGGGCCAGAGGGCCATTGGGTCCAACCCCCTACTCAGTGCAGGCCTGCAGATTAAATCATCCCTCTCAGATGGCTGTCCAGTTGCATCATGAGTGCCTGCAGTGTGGGAGAGTCCACAACCTCCTTAGGTCATTGTCATATTGCTCTTATCAGTCAGGAAACTCTTCCTGATGTTCCATTGGAACCTGGCTTCCTGTGAATTGAGCCCGTTATTCCATGTCATGCACTCTGGGATGATCAAGAAGAGATCCTGTCCTTCCTCTTTGTGACAGCCTTTCAAGTACTTGTAGGGTGCCAACTTCTCTTGTGTTCTTAGGATATTGTGCAAAGTTTTGGTAAACATATTTATTTAATTTCTATACTGCCCAACAGCTGAAGTTCTCTGGGCGGTTCACAAAGCACCAGAGCACCTTTGCTTTTTTTTTTTTTTTTTTTGAGAACAAGCAGAAGGGCATAGAATTCTCCAAGCAACTGGCTGGACTAGCAAGAGTCAGAGGGCTTAACCTTCTTGGGGGCAGCTTACTGTGATTCTTTTTGGGCAACCCTTGTAAAGAAGAAGACCTCCACTAGCTGAGCTAAATGTCTTTCATGTTTCCCAGATCCAGTACACCTGCCATTTGGGCATCTGGCTGGCCTTCTGAGGGCTTCCCAGGAATACTACTGCAA